GATAAATTTCCTGGAGCAGTTATGGGAGAACAAAAGGGCAGTATTTGCACAGGGAGAAGCCTCTTGCCTCTTTTATTATTGTTAATATTATTTTTATTGTGATTTGGGTGAAAGTTGACAGAGCAAGTTCATTTTCCATACACATTTTGTTTCATGACATTGACTGCAATTCTCTACAATGTAACAGCTCTCTTCCTACACCTCTTCCCTGTGTCCTTCTTTCCTATGCATTCCTGCCCCCTGAGCTATTTCCCTGTGCAAATACTGCCCTTCTGTTCTCCCATGACTGATCACTCCAGGAAATGTATCTATCTGATGTAAATGTTCACCCTATAAGCCTGTCTGTTGTTTGGGTGGAAGCCACGGGAGTGAGTTCAGTTCCAGACCTGAACGGTAACTAGGGGCCATAGTCTTGGGGGTCTCACTAGGCTCTATCAGACCAGTAAACCTGGTCTTTTTTTTTAAAAAAAAAAAATAATAATGATTTTGAGTTTTGTTCCACATTGTTCTTCCACTCTATCCAGGATCTCCTGCACCGATCCCTTTTCAAGTGGTTGACAGTGGTAGCCAGGCACCATCTAGTTCTTCTGGTCTCGTGGTCATATAGGCCGAAGTTCTCATGGTCCACTAGTCCTTTGGAGTAATTGTTTCCATGTGTCTTTGGTTTTCTTCATTCTTCTTTGCTCTGGACAAGGAGAGACCCATTGTTTCATCTCAGTGGCCGCTTGCAAGCTTTTAAGACCCTAGTTACTAGTCACCAAAGTAGGATGTAGAACAGTGTTTTTGTGTTATGTGTTATGCCAGTGGAGCTTGATATCCCTGGTAACCATGGTCGTGAGCTCACAGGTCCAACAACTTGCTCCGTTAGGGTGGTTGACTGTGCCTAAGAAGTTATCATAACTTTGCCCCTGTTAGTTCTAATTATGTGGACATTCTTACAGCATATATAAATACATATGTAGAAATATCATCTCATGAGTATAGTCCCTTTTGCCTAGACATACCTGGTCGTTCAGCCTGTCTACCCATCTATTTACCCATAGATTAGTGTTTGTTGTCACTGATAACACAGTGTTGTGTATGTAAGAGGGTTTATCTTTGTTGTCTGTACCTCTTATGCACCTCTCTTGTGTCTTCCTTTTCCTTAGTGTTATTGTGTTGGTCACTCACTTTTGGTATATTGCCTTTCCCTTCACCCAAATCAATTACTTTTGTCTACCTTTCCAGCAGTGTTCCCTGCACCCCCCCCCCCAACTTCTTGCCTCTTATGGGAACCAGAGGCACGTGGGATCAGCTTCCCAGGGAGCATCCCAGACATGCTGCAGTATTAAGGGATTAATTTGGTGTTCCATGAAAATGAATGATTTAAGAAATCCTATTTCTTAGAAGAAAGTGCCTGCCAACCAGCTGAAACTTACTTTTTTTTGTGACATTTAAAGAATTATTTAAAAATACATTTTTTTTACAACACTTTTACACATATAGAAGAGTTGTGTAGAACGTCCAGAGAGTTCCCATAGGCCCCTTCTATCCAGGCACAGTTTCTCCTGTTAAACATGTTGCATTCTTTTGGTCCATTTGTTACAATGGATGAACCAATAGGGATGCATTACTACTAAGTAAAATCCATAGTTCACTTTAGAGTTCGCTCTTTCTGGTGTATAATCCTATGGGTTTGACAAATGCTTAATGTCATGTATCCACTGTTACCTTATCCTACAATAGTTTTGTGAGACTTATTTTTAAAGATGTGGATTAGGTGTTTTCTGTAGTGTTTCTTTTGCTGTTTTTATCTTTTTAAATCCAGACATAGCAGGTTCTGAAAATCCACTTAATGCTTTACCGGGAAATGATTTTGAGGTTTTAATGATGTGTTCCCCCTGCTTGGACAAAATGAAAAAAGCAGATATGAGTTCAGGAGTGGTAAGTTCTTCTTGATGAGCTATTGTTGTACTTTCTTAATTTTAAAAAGATGAAATGACATTAAACGTGACACTGTAGAAGGCTGCTCTGCCTGCTACCCAATTTTATATGTCACTATGCTACAGAGGGAGAACATTGGATTGATTTATATGCTTTCAGAAACTTGAATTGCTGACCCCCAAATATCAGAAGTGGTTTTAACCGGGTGGTAATTTCCTCTCTCTGCTGAGGTTCTGTACTACTTGGTATGTGTAACTGTTTCCCTCCTATATTTACAAGGTCATAATTAAGTGTTCCAGAGGAGAAAAGGAGTAAAGAAATGTTTGGGTGGCTTTTTTAAAAACTTGGTTACTTAAACAATTTTTAAAGGTACTAAAATTATTTTTAAATAGCTTATTGAATAGAAAAATAATAAATGTAAAATACATTTATTCCTTCCTGAACTTATTTTTATGTTCTGTCCCATAAGGAAAAGAAGGCAGGGTCTTCTATTTGAATACAAGTGCCATTCATTTTTTCCACAAATAAACAATTTCGTTGATTCTTAGTGTTCAAAGACCACATAATTTTCTTATTTTGGGGGGGATGCATGATGAATGAATGTCTTCAAGGCAGGTAGGTGTATATGGAACTTACCTTCCATTTAGAATCTGAATACTTTGAACACGGCACTGCTCTTGTTCTCTGTCCCAATTTAGTTTCTCACCATTCCACCCTCACAGCTTAGTTCTAATTTTTTTTTTCTTTTTCATTGTGATTGGGGTGAACATATACTGAGCACTTTGGTTTTCCCTTTAACAGTTCATACACATTTTAATTTGAGGCATTGATTGCAATTCCCACAATGTAATAGCACTCTTCTCACGTCCTCCCTGTGTTTCCAGTTTCCATTCATCCTTCTTTTCTGTTTCTTCCTGCCTTCTGAACTTTGTCCCTGGGCCAATGGTGGCCTTTTCATCTCATTTGGTTGATTGTTCTAAGGAGTGCGTACTTCCCTGGTGTTACTGTTCACCTTATAAGCCTCTCTGTTATTTGGTTTTAAGTTGAGCCATAGGGCAAGTTCAGTTCCAGGCCTGAAGGGTGTCTAAGGACCATAATCTCGGGGATTCCACCAGTCTCTGGCAGATCACTAAGCCTGGTCCTTTTTTTTTTTTTTAAATGATTTTGAGTTTCGTTCCACGCTATTTTCCCCACTCTGTCGTGGACCTCCTATGTAATCCCTTTCAGAGTGGTCAGCAGTGGTAGCCAGGTACCATCTAGTTCTGGTCTCAGGCTTGTCTAGAAGCTTTGGTTCAAGAGGTCCATTTGTCCTTTGAATTAATTGTTTCTTTGTGTCTTTGATTTTCTTCACTGTTTGCTCCAGACAGAGAGGAATCAATAGTTGTATCTTAGATGGCCGCTTGTGAGCTTTTTAAAGACCCCAGTCAGTATTCACCAAAGTAGGTTGTAGAATGTTGTCTTTGTGGACTATGCTAGGCCAGTTGACTTTGATGTCCCCCTAGATGATGGTCCTGAGCCCCCAGGCCCAGTGACTCATTCCCTTGGGGTGTTTGTTTATGGCAAAGAAGTTTTCGTAACTTTGCCCCTATATGTTCTACTATATTCATATATTTGCAGTAAATCCAAATACATATGTAGAAATATAGTCTCTCAAACCTATAGACATTCATAGATGTGGACCTATTCACATTCCCTCTCCTCTTCAGCTTGCATGTCTATCAATGTATCCACTCATAGATTATTGTTATTGTTACTGCAGGGTTTTGTGTGCTGTAGTGTTGTATGTTGCCTTTAACTCTTGTTCCTCACATTGTCTTCCTTTGCCTTGATCATTGTGTGCAGTATTGTTTATTGCCTTTTCTTTTGCTCAAGTTAATACGTGTGAACCCTCTAGTTAGTGATTTACCCTCTCCTCCCTTTCCACCCTTGGTAACCTTCAAAGAATGTTTCTTTCTGTGAGTAAACCTTTTCTTGACTTTTTATAGTAATGGTCTGATACAATATTTGTCTTTTTGTGGTTAACTAATTTCACTCAGTATAACATCCTCCAGGTTCATCTATGTTATGAGATTCATCATAATTCTTTAACGTTGCATAATATTCCGTTGTGTGCATGTTCCATAGTTTGTTGATCCATTCATCCATTGATGGACACTTTGATTGTTTCTGTCTTTTTGCTGTTGTGCATAGTGCTATGATTAACATGGGTGTACATATATCTGTTGGTGTCATGGCTCTTATTTTTCTAGGATATATACTGGTTTGGTTACTCCGTGCTGTTCTAACAGAAAATACCACAAATGGATGGCTGGAAGTCTGAGTTCAAAGTGTCAGGCTCTAGGGGTTGGGTGAAGGCCCCTCAACCTTGGGCTTTAGCTCTGCCTCTTGTTCCTGGCCTACTGAAGCTGGAGGCTTTTCTTCACTCAGGCAGCTGCTGGCTGCTGAGGCTGGCAAATCCAAGGTCAACAAGTGAAAGGACACAGTCCCGATATTACCAAACCACATGGCAGGCCATTGATTGAAGTCCATTGAAAATCCCAAGATTGGCAGGGCATGGCAGGCTGCTGAACAATGACACGGGTACATGCACAAGTCCAACTGTGCCATAAACTAGAGACATTCCTCAAAGTTACTTCTTATGTGCTGGAAACAGCCCACATCCCTAAAGCAGCTACTGAGCTGCTCCGGTAGATTCCACTATGGAGTTTATTACCAATCTCACCACGGGGAGTAATGACATCCAGCTACCCAGCCACTCAGCCAGGCTCAGCCAAGTTGATGTACAACCTTAACTACCACATATATCTAGTAGTGAGATTGCTGGATCATATGGTCTTATTCCTAATCTTAATCCAATGTGACTGTCTTATTGTCTTATCATGAATGTCCTTAGATTGTTGAAGTTATGCCCAAACACATCAAGATTTACCTGTCCTAGGTAGCCCTCTGAGCATATACTTGAATTCCTTTTCACATTCTTCCCTAAGGTGCAGATGCTGTATCAGTTTGAGTTTGAAGTCATCATTTCTGCATAGAATTTTTGGATACCATGCTAACTTTCCCTCTTCCTCTTTTAGCTCCTTATGAAGCCAGGCAGTCCCTTGTCCAACCAGAAGGAACCTCGCTGGGGGGCTCTGGAGCCAAGCCCCCACGTCTTCAGGCTTCTCTTATCCGGGTAAGTGATGTCATGGGTTTTATGCCAGTAGGAAAGTAGAGATACATTTTGAACTTTGGAGACATAGCTTTGGGATGGATGCTCTTTTATTGTAAGGAAGATATAAAATTGCCATCCTCCCATGCAAATAGCACACTCCTTGAGGTATCGCTTATATGTGTCCCTAAATCTTTTCTGTGTGTTTCTACCCCTTCTCAGTGTCTCTAGAATATACCCGGCTGGTTGTTGGTCTTTGTTGTGTCCTAGATGCCCTTCCATCTTCAGCTCCCTAACCTTTAGGCACCTCCTACAAGGGAGCTAAGCTGTATTTTTTCCAAAACAGTCCATCTTGTCTCTGCCTTCTTCTTTATTATCACTCATTTAGTGGATACTTAACCATCTTTGTGTTTTACCTCCAATTATGTTGTAAGCATTTCAAAGGCAGAAGTAACTCTTTCATATTCTCTCTCAGAGAGGCTAGGTTCTAGAAATAAAAATTGGATATTTAAAAAATACTTTTGAAAATCCGTTACTGGTACCACATTGGAAAACCAAGATGCCATTCTCTCCTAGGTCCAGCCCAGCTCAGTTTTACCCTCAAGTTGTAGCAGACAGCTGTTTCTTCAGCTGAGCCCCGGATGTAGTAGTTGGCTGGGTTTAGAGATCCAGTGGTACAAAAATGTGTCATTAAACACGAGAATCACACCCATTATGGAATGATGATTATGTTAAAAAGGTATCAGAGTGGGTAGAGTTCAACCCCAGAATTTCCCGGGTATAGCTATGCACGTTCCTGCAGAAAGGCTTCAGGTGCTGTGGAGACCAAATTCTTAATGGATACAGTGGTGGTCAAACAGGACAACTTGAACTCTTCAGCAGTAGGCTGGGCTCCTTGGGTCCTTTCTCCCTAGCCCCTTGTATTGGATGGTTATGAGCTCTCCCTGGATTTGATGCCCTGTGATTTCTCTTCTAATCTCTAGGTCACTCTTTCTGCTAATAAGCACAATTCTTGAGCCCTTCCCTCAACTAATAGTTAGTAAATACTGTAATTTTTCCAAATAATGTACCTACGTAAGTAACACATCCACACATACAACACTTACAACAATAACATGCACATTTGGGGGTGGGGAAGTTGCACAGTTGGTTAAAAAAAAAAAACCCAAAAACCTAGTATGCATTATTTGCATACAAATATGTTAAGATATTAAGTAGTGCCAGGCATTCTCATTTCCTGCCATCATGAACAGGCTACTGGAAGAGGTAGTCATGAACCAAATGATCGTAAAGTACATATATTATCCTGATAGGTTATGTGAATAGAAATAACCCTATGCTTTGAGGGTAAAAAGTTTAGGTGAGGAGCATTACCTAGCCATGACAGGCAGGGGGTGATCAAGGAACGCTCCTAGAGGGTTGCAACATTTGAGTTGCAACAAGAAGGACACACAGGTAGCAAGGCGAGGAGATGGGAATGGGAGGGAGCAGGCAAGAAGATAATGACTCAGCAGGGGGAGCTGCGTGTACAAAGGCTCCTTCTGTCTTCTTAGCACTTTGTACACTGACCTCTTTCAACACAGTTATCTCATGAAGTAATTACCGCTACTATATTTTTTCAAAGGCTAAAAGCTGAGGTTGAAAACATTATTTAATTTGCCCAAGGTCACAGCAAGATAGAGGCAAGGCTGAAATTCAAACACTAGACACAGTCCCTCAGTCTCTGAGTCACGGACCTGATGAGCGGCGATGCCATCTGTTGATGTGGGGGGGAGGGCTATAGAAGAGAAGCTAGTGTTGTGGAGTGATCATGAATTCAGTGCTGGAAGTTGGACTTTGAGCTTTGGGATTGCCAAGAGGAGGTGTCAAAGACATGGTAGGCTATATGGGTGTGGAGCTTTGGGAGAGAACTGGGGCTTGGACGTTGGTATTTAGCAGCGATTAGGCTCTGGTGGCATAGTGACTAAGGCTAACCAGAAGGCTGGTGGTTCAAACTCACCAGTCACTCCTTGGAAGTAAAATTGGACAATCTACTTCTGTAGTGATACTGCCTCAGAAACCCAAGGAGGGGTTGCTGTGAGTCAGATCTGACTCGACAGCAATGAGTTTGGTCTTTGGTTTAGGCCATTAGAAGGTCCAGAGAAAACCAGACAGCTTCTTGCCCAGGAAGGAACTCTGGTGGTGTAGTGGTTAAAGTATTTGGCTGTTACCCAAAAAGTCAGTGATTTGAACCCACTAGCCACTCCACAGGAGGAAGATGAGGAAATCTGCTTCTGTAAAGATTTACAGCCTTGGAACCCTAGGGAGCAGTTCTACTCTGTTCTATAGGGTTGCTATGAGTCAGAATGACCTCAGTGGTAGTGGATTTTCTTGCCCAGGCCCAGCCAAACTCTGTGTGACCCTGGGTATGTTATTTTTCTGTTCTGTAACATGAATGATTTGGAATGGATTTAACAGTCCATTGTAACTGTCTTTAACAGTCTGATTCTACTAATGTTTGTTTGACATCAGGGGAAGGTTTTGATCCCCCTCCTGTTTGGAGTTTTGTCTTCTGTTTAAGATGAGAACAAGAGGCCTTTCTCAGCACAGCAATTTGTGGTTTTTTTGGCTAATGTGTTTTTCTGTCTTCAGTTCTTAGGTTTCCTTCTTATGGCTGTCAGCCTGGTTTGGCTAGACTCCATGTTCCAGAAAGCAAAATGCCGACCTGTATTAGTCATGTAGAACGGGGGTTTGAAGTGAAGGTTTTTGGTGTAGAGGATTAATACTTATTGGGCATGATACTAGGCTAAGCTGAGTAATGAATTCCCCTGGTGTTGCCATGTTAGTGTGGTGATGGCAGCCATCTCTTTTTTTTTTTTCTCTCTCTCTCTCCTTGCAATCTTGTATTCAAGTTCTTTGTCCCCTGTTAGAAGGAGACATGGCCTGTCTTACTGGGGGAGGTTTTTGTGGGGAAGACGTTTAGGGACTCTGGGCTAGTGCTGTTTGCAGCCCATGGACATGAGATTCTGGAGGTGCTTATGCTAAATTCCATGCCCCCAAACTTGAATGAGTAGTCTTTTTACAATCCTGTCAGTGATAGGAGATAATATCTATACGCCTACAAGGAAGACCAGTTAATACGACTCTTATTCAAATTAATG